CGGTTGATGTGTTTTCCTTACCGCCATTTCAGAACTTTTTAAAAGGTTGATAGCAATCAGTAAGAATTTTATAATTAATATATATATATATATATTAATTAATATATTCTGATGGTTTTAAATATTAATAATGAATGAATTAAAAATTTAAAATTCTAATCGCATATTGTAATAGTCTCATTAATGGCAATTAAAAAAACAATTAATGAGCCATTCATTGTACTTGTTTAATTGAACGTGAACAGAATTTAATTAAATAATTATATATTAAAAGATTTCAAAAAAAAAAATTTATTGCATGTGCCATATGCCTTAAACAATTTATAACTGAAAAGGATAATTTGAACTTAAATCCAAAATTCTTGGTTAATTTTAGAAATGCGACCATTTGATGCAAAAGTCAAAATAGTATTAATTTAATAAAATGAATAAATAATTATAATCTTCTATTTCAACATCCATAAGCATAATGCTAATTATGGATGTTTGTAAGAGGTGAGAGAACACCCGTAAGCATAATGCTAATTATGAATTATCTCTTAGCGTTGCACGGGAATTCATCACACACTCAGGTAAAAAGAAAACAACTAGTAATTACACTAAAAGTTTTTAATTGAAAAATTCATAAAGGGGCAAATACTATGGGGTCTAGGATCTTAAAATATTTCTGGTTTATCTGAGATGCCATGAAAATTGCAATTGAGACTTTCTAGGATCTTAAAATTGTAAATTTTTCTACATAAAAATCTTAATAAGAAATTCAAGATAAATTAAAGTTTTGGATTAAAAGAATTAGGATTTTTTAAAATCTATCTTTTATTTTCCTGCATAACATTCAGGTTGCTTTGCATGGGTATAATAGAACCTCCACAATATCTAAGGTCTGGTCTAGATAATTTCATCATTTACATATCCTGAAGAGAAGCCCCTGTGCTTCTCCAAATAGACTGATCTAGCATAGATTTCTATTTAAGTGGTTATCTACTGTGCTTATACCGTTAGAAGGCTCCATGACCCAGACAGAGTGTAATTTTTGTTTGTTGGGAGTATTCTCAGCTTTGTAGCAGAATCTCCCTTTTCCTCACCATTTTAACAGGTATAAGTCTTACCTCTTGAAGCTCCACCTGATAGTCATAGGATAGAGTTTCATTTATTTGACCTTAGGGCTGCATAGTCCCCAATAGCAAAATACGCTCCACTTCTACCCCAAAGGATGAAGAAACTCTCCTCTACAAGGAGAATCAGATGATGCTTTAAGCTCCAACCTCCACTCCTTCCCCAAAGAGTGAAGAAGCTCACATTCTTTAAGGAGAACAACTAAGCTCAAAGCAGAAGTACCTCCATTCCTCTATTTTCTCCTGTGAAACGATGGTCGGAGAACAAAACAATAAAGAGGAAGAAGAAAATGGAAGAAATCTTCACAAAAAATCTCCAAACACTCCAAAAAGATCTCCCTTAGCTCCTCCTTGCTCCTTGTGATCTGAGAAATTCCCTCCCCAAACCTGTTATCCCCTGGCTAAGGGGGAAAAATGATCCCTTACCTCATTAGGCAAGGATCCAGGTGAGCCTAAGGTGCAGAGATCGAAGTTGGGAGCTGCATGATATGTGATCTACGTAGATCATAGTTGGTGAGAGAGGCAATAAAAAGGAGTTGCAACAATGTTTGTATGTCATGAAAGCTGAGATTGGGAGCTACCTGAGTGCGAAATACGTAGGCCATAGTTAGTCACGCGCGTAGTAGCGAGAATTGTAATAATGTTTGTAGGTCGTGGAGGCCAAAGTTTGGAACTACATGAGCTGTGGACCATGTAGGTCGTAATTGGTCACATAGGTCGTAGTGATGAGCAGTAATAATATCCATGATTGTAGAGGTCGAAGTTGGGAGCTGCATGAGTAGTGGACTAAGTAGATTGTAATTTGTCACATATGTCGTAGTAGTTAGATGTGAGCAGAGAACTTTAAATGTTCGAATAAAGTCAATGTATTTTGATTACGACGGTGGTAAGCAGTTATTGTGAGGTGTGTTGTTACACTGTCTTCATGGTGTGTCGTTGTACTCTGTTTGGGATGGGTCTTTGCACCTATGTGAGTTGTGTCCTTGCACAATATTTGGGCTGTGTTTTTATACCTTTTTTGGGGTGTATTATTACACTGTTTTTAGGGTGCGACGTTACACCATTTTCAGGATGTGTCGTTACACTGTATTTAGGGAGCATTGTTCCACAATATCATGAGGGGCACAATGTTGCACCATGTTTGGGGTACTCTGTTACACCATTTTCAGAGTGTATCGTCACACTGTTTTTGTGGTGCATCGTTGTACTATATTTGAGATGTATTGTCATCTCAACACAGTCAAGATGATTCATTGCTCTGTTGGGTGCTTCTTTACTCTAAAGTACTTCATGAATCAACAAAAGGATTCATTGCAATAAGCAGGGGCGATGATGGTGTTCAACAGTTGCCAACAAGCAAGGGGCAACGACTACGAAGCGGGAAGCGTTCATCAGATCTTTAGTACAGAGCCTCACTAAACTTTGGCTCATTCTCCCGCATGGCCCCCATATTAATTAGGCCAATACCAAGTACCTTCCTTTTTCTGCTCTTCTTTTCCTCATGTATAACACTCTGGATTAGAGTGATTTGAGCATTTAGTTTTCTTTTTTCAGAAAGGAATACTAAGTAATTTGGAATTTTTTAAACATTAGTTAAACTCATTCGCATGGCAAGATGGAATTTATAATCTATTGCACAAAATTGCTGAATGAAACTTTGAAATTTATTTTGGAAAAAATACAATAAAATAGTCTTTACAATTTATTATAATTTGACTAACCAATATTTTCAATTAAGTTTTAAACGTTAAATTGTTTATAAAATGATTGCAGACAAAATTTTTGTTAATAATACTTACAATCCAAAGAGATGTTTCTTATTATAATCTTAATGGACGAATAAAAAAACAGAATCATAAAATAAATTAAAGTACATTTGTAATGGGTCTGACACTATATATATATATATATATATATATATATAATTATTTAATTTTGTAAGCCAAAAGATTTATTATTGTTGGATTCATAAAAATTTAATCTATTTAATCACAAATCTAACGCAAAACATGGATTTGCAGCAACTTGAGGGGGCTTAATTGACTACCAATCCTACTGAAAAAAGAAGAATTTGTAATCCATTTTGTACTATGGATTTCGAAATTTCAAACCAACAATTAAGTTGTACTTAGGAGCTCAAATCCTCCTACAAAACAAATTCCATCTAGTTCAATTAGAATTCTTGTCAATCCTAATTCAAAAATAGTAAAATTGAATTGAAGAGTTGATTCGAGCTCTAATTCCATATGATACCATCCCTCATATACTATATTTATGTTTGTCATACATTGTCTTGATCCTGTCGGTCTCAGTCAAATATATTTTGCACCTATTACTTTATGTAATCATTAAATCAATGTTAAATCGTGAAATATTATCTACTATAAATAAAAACATACTGGATTAAACTTCATCAATTATAGTGATTATTAAGCTAATAATCTAATTTGGGAAGAATGACTAAGATGCTTGACTGAAAGATAAAAGCAATTTTCAATTATATTGTTAAATGTGTTTGATTGCAAATATTTTGAACAACATGAATTAATTATATTATCTTCTCAAGCAATAAAAACCCATCTTTTAAAATTTTTTAATGTTTTCTATTATCTTTTAAATTGCTTTGAATTGTATATAGATGAGATTGCCTAAAATTAAACAATCTTTAATATTCTTCAAATATATATATATATATATATATATATATATAATACAGAGAGAGAGAGAGAGAGAGAGATGCCTTGATACAATTCAAAATTTGGAACATTCCCAAAAATAAATTATATAAATATATCCAATTTAATTTTTTAAATCATCAAAGTTAATTCAAGGTAGTCAATTAAATCATCAAATATAATTAAAAAATTAAAGAGACTATTTGAATAATACTTAAGTTGTTAGAACACTAAATTGAAAATATTTATAATTCAATACTAAAGTAACCATCTAAGATATTTCATTCATAGTATCACACAGCCACAATTTGACTCTAGCTCTGCTTTGAGCTCTCGGATCTTCTTATCAGATAGCAGCCTTGCTGATTCTACAGTTTCTGCAATCTCTTTTGCTTCCAGCCTTAATTTTTCTATAGCATTTTGTAGTTCTTGTATAGATATCAGCCTTGCTGTTTCTGAAGTTTCTACAATCTCTTTTGCTTCCAACCTTAATTTTTCTATAGCATTCTGTAATTCTTGTATTGAAGTTTTTGTATTCTCATCTAATTTCAGTCTTGAAGTTTTCTCTTGACTAAAATTCTTCTGAAGCTTTTCTATTTTTCCATACAAATCGCAATGTACCTGCAAAGTCACAAAATAATATATAATAATAAATTTTCAAGGATAAATGATCACAATTGTCATTAAATTATATTTGTTTAAGTGTATTCATTTTGATCTTATTATTTTCATGTATTAAATTTAGCCTCTTAATTGAGCATATCTAAATCAATTTGGTCCTCACAAATATTTTTTTGGTCAAAATTTAATGTCAAAAAGTTTTTCATAAGAATATTTTAAAATTATTAAAGGCAATCTGATTAGTGTGATTTAAGATTGAACTTAAAAAGTCCAAATTTTTCTAGTGAAATATTGCCTCCACTAATTTTCATCTAAAGAAACAAAGAAATTAATCGCATAACCAATTTTTTCTAGATTTAATGAGTCGATGCACTCTAAAATCGTTGAGATTAAAATAAAAAAATGAAAAGTCTATAAATCATTTTGATCATTTGCTTTCATTTCAGACATGAAGAAATAAAACATACAATGATATGAGATACTTTGTATTGAGAGAAGTAAATACCATTTCTGATATGCCTTTGGACTCATCATCATATGATATATCAAGTTTTTCCTTTCGTTTAGCTAAACCCTTCGTCGAGCATTCTGGATTATCTTTGTTTTGTTTTTTTATTTGTTGCTGGCACAATGCTCTTTCCTAAATAAACATGAGAGGAAATTTTATGGATCAACTTAAATGGTCGAATGATAGATTTGTCCAATATGTAACTTGGCTTGTGCATATATTTGTCTTGTGAAAGGTTTGCCTCCATTGATCGCAACAACATCGTCGATAAGAGAGATCAACTGTCTTACTTGCCTCTCTCTCTTAGCCTCATTCTTGGTCATGTTATCAAAAATAATAACTCTTTTTTGACATAAGAGAATAAAGTTCTACAAAATTTTTATCAAGATAGAAAAGTTAGACAATTGTGAACTTAACCAAAAAATGATTTTGAAGTTCTAGGTAAAAAGAGTAATCACTAGTTAACCAACATTATAATAAAACTAAAGTCAGAAAAAAACAAAAACAACAGCCCCACAGATTATTAGAAAGCAAGCAAATAAAGTTATAACAAGAAAAATAGCAGAAACCAATAGGAAAGTTTGAATTACTCCAAACTTGAAAGCAGTATATATATGAGAGTCCATTCAAATGTAAACCACAATAACTAGCATATGATGGGAGCCATTTTTCAGCATAAACATGATGGTCTACATTATTTAAAGAGCGCTACATCAACTGCATACTTAAATGCTATCTAATGACTTTGACCCTAACCTTTTATTCATATACCATAAAAATGTGTCTCTCTTATGCTCATAACCCGTAAAAAAACTCCACATGTTTTTGCTAAAAAAAGAAAGGATTGAATAAGGAAGAAAAACGAGAGCAATAGTTTAGAATGAATGAAAGCAGTCAAAATGAAAATATAAGACTAGAATTACGAAAGATTGTTGGATGTTTAAAGCTTTGAAAAGCTCTAACCTTCATAGATATAATCTTTGAAAACAGTAAGTAGAAACCGATACTTGATGTGTAGCAAAAACAACTGTGTCAGTCACAAATATGCTTATATTGGCAGAACAAAAATACAGAGACATGCTGCACACACAACCCCGATCCCTGAGGAACTACATGCATCATAGACTAGATCACTTGCAAGTTATTATTCATGGGAATTAGTCTTTAATTTTGCAAGTTCTAAATTGTTGTTACAACTATTGTAACATAATAGAACTTCATTTCAATTAATTACATATCTCTGTCACTCTTGACAATAGAGAATATGCTCCGTGTACAGTTAGGCATGTAAAGGAATCATAATTGTTCTTTTTCTAACATGAGATTACACAGATTAAAATTCTAAACCCATTGAAATATGTATCAATAAGGAAGAAATGTTAAAAAATATCAAATCTTCAAACAAATTTTATTCAGCTTCTGTTTTTAACTGTTCGAGGCTAGCTTTACACACAAGAACATCAATACTATATCAATTAAATTAAAGACCATAAGACTAAGTAGAGCAGAGCATATGATATAATTTGAGAAAAATTGCATATATAAAGCGCAGCTTAAAAAAATTGACACAAAAACAAGTTGAAAGACTTCAATTTAAAAATTAGTTCAAAGCAAAAAAAAGAAAATATTGCAATAACTAGGAAACTAATTAACAAACTAAACACTTGAAAACTCAAAGATCAAACATAAGAAAAAAAACGAAAAAAAAAGTTACATGAACAAACCTTTAATAACTCTGGAAGCCTTTTAATGTATTCACTCAAAGTTATCTCACGCATTTCAAGTATATCACCGCCAGTAAGAACTACACTGACGTAGTCAATAATCTTATCACCAAAGAAGGTTTTTAAATTCTGGATAGCAAACTCTTCATCACTTGAAATGCGGTTTTTTATTGAGAACACCATGAGTACAGCATGGAGACCACCCCTGGCCAGATCTATGCACTTCAGTATCTCTCTACCAACGAACTCAGAGCCAGTTGAAAAATCATATAATCCTACAAAGAAAAAATAAATTAAGATTTCAGGCTCCAATAAAAGCTCTACACGAATCACGAGAAGGGGAAATTTGAACCCAAATGCAATGTTGTAATTAGAAGCAAAATTGTAAGGTAACAATAAGGATGAAATGCAATTAAGAAAATTTGCAAAATGCTCTTTATGGAAAAGACCAAATGACTCAACCTGGGTTAATATTCACACCAGATTCACTCAAGATGAGATTCAAACCAGATCAGCCCAAAGATCAGCTCGGCCAACTTAGTGGATTAAATATACAACACAACACATTAGTCAATTCTTTAGTTTGTTGGTTCTACAACGGTTACTCATCAACTCAACAACCCGACTACAATTGCGCGACAACTCAAAAGCTCAGGCATGATTATTTAACAAATTTGCAAAAGTTAAAAATCTTTCCTACAGTTGGATGGAGGTTGCTAAGCTCAATGTCCTATCAGGCCACAGGACACATGGCAAATTTGTTGTATTTGTTATTTTTTCTATGTGGCTCATGTAACATTACAAGTATCAACCAAAAACTACAATGGAAGGTCAAAGTTAAGAATTAAATTTTTCAATCCCAGATATTTAATCCAAGCCACACTATCATCCTTAAACTACTTTTCCTCTTAGTTATAATATCCCCAAGTTTCTCTCTCTACAACTCTCTTTTTTTCTCTCCATTCCATTCTTTTCCCTATTTGAGGTATTCTTGTCTAGGTGATGTGAATTCACGGATATTCAAGGATCCAACATGCCACTTGTTTCTTAAACATGTCGTAGGTTCATATTGGTGTCTTCTCTTTGACAGTTAGCTTGATATTTTGGGGATAAAAATACCCTTGCTTCTAAATTGACATTTCACATTTCCATCTCGATGCAAGGCATCCCATAAATTGCAAAGTCAAAGTAGGTGTTACATCCTAAAGGTAATGGGCAGCGTTCTGCTGGTGAATCAAGATCTATTAGTGAACCAAGGACATCTCAGCAATTTAAAGATATTGCTAAGGGATAAAGTTCTTAAAACGGGCGAAAGTTACATTAGAAATAAAAATTAGGCACTTTTTTAGGTTTAAATAAATAAATAAATAAATAAAACTACTTACAACTTCTCAGAATTAACTGAGGTAGTGTTGTTTCCTCCTAATATACTACATTCATTGAGCTTTTTATATAAAAAAAAAAAGCATTGTACAAATTGAGTCATGAAATAACTTTTTTTCAATTTTCTAATGCATAAAGAATGAGCATGTTAGTGTGATAAAACTTTATATTAAATTTCCATCTAAAGAAAAGGGAGAAAAAATCACTAGCCCTATTTAAAGGAATCTCAACTACTCTGGTTATTCATTAAAATGTGCCCGTCCACGTAACCCAAAATACAAAACTCAAATTTTGGTTGATGCTTAAATCACTTCTACAAGAGCTAATGATATATGAAAACAATATTCATATAGTAAACAACTTGTTAAAACTCAAATTAGATAAAAAAAAATTGGTCACCCACCTAGCACAATAACTATAACTAGAATAAACATATGAAAACATTAACTTATTCCCATAAACTTTAGAAACTATCAGCCCATACTATCAGAACCCTAAACACAAAGGCTGTAATATTTCAAAATAATAAAAAAAAACAAAAATGCAGTAGATGATTTTGGATGCTAAAATAAGCTGGAAGATGCTTGTCTACAAAGCTTATCAAGCCCATCCTCTCCGTTCCCAACCCTTTCTAAGCATAAACAAGTTAGAAAATTAGAAGTTGGAATCAGCTCAACCTGGTACCTTTATGGTTTTCATGTATCAACACAGCTTGAACTAACTGCATGAGTAAATAATAGTAGTAGCAATGAAAAAGAACTAAAAAAAAATGAATTCGAAAACACTTGAGGCAAAAAATAATCTCTTGATATAAAAGAAAAAATTTCAGAGGTGGAAAAATCTTGCTTTACATTAAGTTCAATCTTTCATAAAGTCATATTATAAAACTAAATATGCAAACTCACACCACAATCAGGAGGCAGTCCATGCAAACCTAACACATTAAAGCTTGATTTTCCAACAAAAAAATAAATGAATTGCACAACACCATATACAAACACTCTTTTAAGTGTAAAGACATGTAGTGAAACAATAAAACCTTATGTTGCTTCCAAAATACAACATTCAACAAAACATAGACACCAAATTTAAGAATATTTCCTACAAGAATGAATAAACTAATATGGCGACAAAAAAAAAGGATTGATTAGTATTTTTATGATGTAAAAACATCAAAAGACTGCCTTTACTGTAACTAATCAGAATGCAAATCTTAATTGACATTGCATATTATTCTCTAAGATATTCTTCAAAAATAAATCAGAAAAAAAATTGACACTGTGGACAAGGTTACCTGAAATTCAACTTTCTCAACGATCTAATACAGTTAGATTAGAGAAAATGATCAAATTGGTCCCCAACTATTTATGAGAGACTATTTTAATCTCAGACTATATGAAAAGACCAAATTTAAACTTCATAATCGTAAAGAAGACCCCAAAACTCTTGTTGTTTTAACTAACGGAAATTGAAATTTAATAGTAAATGTTTTAAGAAAATATATTTTCTTATTGATTTTTTTATTAAATAGAATTCTCTACTTATGTTATTTTCTCATGTATAACAACCAACTTAACATAAACAGAAATGGATTAAAATTATGCAAATTGTGAAGCAAGTTATTTATTGTAATAAATAACTTTATTTTACATTTTTGTTATCTTAATTCTATTGTAACAAAAATCAATCTTAATGTACTTTATTATAATACAATTACAATAAAAAAATATCAAATAAAAATAATAATTAAAATAGCTCGCTCGGCAATCAAGTTAATCTCAATATACTTCTGTTGAATGTGATGTAAACAATAGTATACTATAAATAAGGTAGCTAAAAAATTATATTTATGAAAAAAATGAAAAAAAATATATATTCTCAAATTATCATATTTTTAATACCACTAACTTCAATTACCATTAGTCTTGATGGCATAATTATTTTAAACACTGGCATAATTATTTGCATAATTATTTTAAACACTGTTTAAAGAAACTAGAAGTTAATATGACATTTACATAGTTTGAGACTAAAATGACCTCTCACAAATAGTCAGGAGATCATTTTAGTTATTTTCTGTTTTATAGAATAAAAGAGAAACTTTAATTCTAACTTTGTCAAAACTTCTTCAATACTGAGCCTCTATGAATTAACCTACAAAACCCATCTGGCTCTCAAACTTTTGTGTCATTTTGCAATCTATTTTTATTCCACATGGCAGCCTCCTTTGACATTGTGCCAAAAAACCACATCTGGGATTTGAAACATAAAACTTTTAAATGAAAATATCCATCACAAACAAAGATCTTACACCATGCCACTAATGCTTTCGCATTTACTAACAATTCGAGTTGAATTTAAGGTCGAAACTTTATATCACCACTGTTATAGCATCGGGGAATCTTACTACAATTAATCTAAACAAAAGAATCCAATAGCCTTATAAATATGTATTTTTATAAATTTTCTAGTATTAGATAGAATATAGTTACCAGGAGTGTCAATAACATGCACACGACGTCCGTCCTTCAAAATAGTGCTTCTCATTTCAGAAGCACATGTTATCGGATCAATACCATGAGAAAAATAGAAGGTTGGTTTTCCAAGAATGGTGTTTGCTACTGAACTCTTGCCATTACCCGTTCTCCCCACAATAGCAAGAAAAATGGCTTTATAACTTAAAGGTGCTCCCTCCCAATTCTCCGGTAGATCCATCAAACCATCCTCCATTGAAAGAAATAATGCAATAATCTACAAAAAAATATATATATAAACATATATATTACAAATGAAAAGATGATTGTGGGGAGAAAATGTTAGCAAAATTGTGTTTGTAAGAAGGGGAGAAAGAAAAGCTTCCGTTCGGAGAAACATACATTCAAAATGTTACAACAACAACAATAACAAAGCCTTAATCCCACTACGTGGGGTCGGCAACATGAATCCTTTTTCTCCATTGCGTCCTACACAATGGGTACAATGGAAAAAAAAAATCCAAAATGGCAAATAGTAATTCACAATGAAATAAAGTTACCAGATTATAAAATTAACATTGGCCATGATGTATTTTCCATTGATAACATGAAAACATCTAAATTCTGAGAACTTCATTAATGTTATTTTTGATACAATGGATAGTACCAGAGGTTGAAGTGTTCAGTATGGAAGCATGTGGTATGGAACTTAGTTCTCTGATTCAAGTTATAATTTATCACGACAATAAACAAAATGTTTCCCAATGGAAACCCAAATAATGCAAAATGTGCATCAGTAACCTATGTCCCTGTAGCACAACATAATCCAAATAAGGCCAAAAACAAGCAAAAAAACTTCTATGCAGATTCCCTTCTTTTCATTCATGCAGCTTAAAGAGCTTTACCAGTCATCATATTTGAAGTTCTTCATGGTTTCATTTAGTTACCTGAACGAAAAACTTGTTATATATAGATGCAAAGTGAAAACATAAATATAAATTACAAAAATATTTCCTTAAAATGAGCATATAAATCTACTCATAACTTAAAACATTCAACTGTAGCCCTTTACATTTTGCGGCTAATATCTAACACCCTAGCAAAACCTAACCAAATTTTCACTATATTCTGACTAACTTTTCACTAAATTCAAGGCTAAAATGCATTAATTTGCATTGAAACATAGTGAAAGAATAAAAAAAATCTGAATTTTAACAATAATCAGTAAAAAAAGCCATACAGAAGCAATCACAATTTGTAATTAAAGAAAAAAATCAAAAAATCAAACTGATTCAAGTTGGCGATCTGGCACAAAATGTATTGGGTGCTGAAGCAAGATGGTGGGTACTGCTAACCTCCGCTAGTTTTCTTCTGGCTGAAGATTGGAGAGCTTAGGTAACTCGGTAGAGTCGAGCCGAAGCATAAATAGAACGCCACTGCCAATGTCAGGTGCTGAGGTGGGCGTGGTCCTCAATATTCCAAAACTAGACATGCCACAAATGGTTAGGCTCGTATATAGCAGACTTTCCATCCCGGTCGATTCTTACACAGATGAATTGCAGCTTGCATTAAATCACTCGAAACTTTATTGTTTACAGATTTCACATCCTAAACTATAACATTATGAAACGCGCACCTCCGTTAACTCCTGCTTCAGTTTTTTTTTTTTTTTTTTTTTTTAATTCTATAATTAAAATCGATTGGGGGCATTCTTCAGCTCATTGTCGCTTTCTCTCATTATTTGCTTTAAAGAAAATTACATATATACCACACAACTCTTCGTGTTACATATCTGAAACCTAAAATTTGAAATTTACTCATAACACTTTGATGTCATAAGTCTATGGAGGTAAGTAAGGGTGTAAATGAGCCTAATAGGAACTTTTACATAATTACATGTAAGCTAAACTCAAGCTTATATAGTATAATCTTTCCAACTAATTTGACTCAAAAAAAATCAATAGAATTCCTAATAGAAATTATTCATCTTTTAGGCCATGTTAAACTAAAATTTTGGGCGGCAAGCGATGTAGAAGCCAAGCATGGAACTATGAGGCAATTTACATACATATCAACCGATATCATCTATTTACATATGTGATGCGAAAACCTAGCTGGCAGCTGCAATCAGATTTTTGAGAGGAAATGTACTCGCCGCCTTTTTGAGCCACTAACCACCATTCGATTTTGGAATTCTTCCCTCCTTATAGTTTGCAGTTTTTCACCGTCGCTCACCTTGCACAATTTGCAATTTAGTTTAAGTTTTTCTAATTCTTAAGTTCCTAAGTCCTAAATCCTAACTTAGATGTCCTAACTACTCCGTCATATCTCATTTCAAAGCATTCGCTAATTAAGTAAATCCTTCAAATGCAAATTAATTTGGCTTTGAAATGAAAGGCAGCGGTAGGTTGAATCAATCCAGGGAAATGTACGTAAATGCATAGGAACTAGATGGTATGTATGTAAATGCCCCCAAAAAAGAAATTTTCATGGTCTTAGAGATGCTACAAAAGGAAAAGATGAACCTTTTCCCACAAGGAGAAATGTATACCATGCATTGGAGTCACACGTGGCAAAAACTATCTAAAATTATGAAAAATTCTGCAAATTGCTATGAAAGGTAGAACATAATTCACATGATAAATTTCATCCGTTGCCTATTATGCTATTCAATATCATTGTGAAAAGTTTTATATCAGAGCACATGGCTACTTTTTTATATCTTCCATTGATAGTATTGCAGGCTCTTCAGTTGGCCTTAAGGGAATGTCATCACAGTTTCTTTCTTCAGCAATTTAGTATTTAGCTCAATGGTCCCTTGTTAAAGCTGCACATGAATTGGGAACTTAGGACCACAACTATTATTACTTTGTTCTTTTTATATATTTATCATCATTATATCATATTTAATTAATATTTGTACTCATTATTTCATTCAGTTCAATTCTTGTTGAACCATTGAACTTTGAACTTGTTCTTAGTTTGGTTTGAAATCCGATCCAGTTTTCATATATTTTATGCTTTCCATCACATAGTAGATATGTACACCGATGAATTGTAGTCATACATTGATTCTTGAAAATGATTTGAAATTTTTTTCTCAGTTTTTTAAGATGAGTAATTAACATACAGTTTAAACTTTAGATTTTTAAAAGATGTATTTACATATGTACCACCACTTCTTATGTATTTATATAATATTTTAAGAAGCGGATCGGACCAGCCAATTGAACTGTGAACCAGGTCCATGTCGAGTTCCGGTTCAAATAAAACCGTATTTGTTGGCCTCATTTTTATGAGTTATGTTATCCTTCTCTAGAATGTAGGATCTAGCCTCAGGATTTTTCTTATGACTTTCCTGGAGGACTAATGTTGGGACCCAATCCACTTAGAAATTAAAACCACCTCTTGACTTTTTCTAGTCTCATCTATATAGTTTTAAATCCTTGACATTTGATTGAGTTAATTGAGATTAACATGTTGAAACTTAAGTAGAGTTTTTATAGGCTTAAAGAGCCTCAAAAAGACCCTTTTGGATTTAAGGGTTTAAGCTTGAAATAGTGCACTTACTCACCTCACAACTCACTTCACTCTCACTAAATCTCACAATTCATCTCACTTTCACTCTCAAACACATACACTCTCATTTAATAAACATTTTTAGAAAACATTTTTGTTTGCACTTACACACACACCCCTCCACATGATGAAAATTTTCAAATGATTACAAAAAATTCAAAAAAAAAAAATTTATTGATCTTCTCACCCAAAATGTTATTTTTATTTATCATGCCAAGTTTTCAAAATAAAATCCAAATTTAAATCCATTTGAAAAGACAAATCTAAACCATACTATGAGCTAAACTTGAACCCCATTTTTAACAAATTTGGAGCCACCTTCAAGCCACTCATTCCAACCCAACTTGGCTCATCTTTGAATCCAACTCCTTGCTCAATTTGATGGAGCCAAGACAAACCACACCAAGGTCCATATTTGTAAACCATAGCCAACCCTATGTGCACCTCCATGAACCTTTTCAAGAAGCTTAACCACCCATGCCCTTAATAAACTCCCCACATCGCTTCTCCTTTGTGGCTCTTCCTTAAATCATCCTAACTAATTTCCAGCAGCTAGAGGAAGTGGCCACATGCTTTAGCCCATAGCCATGACTATCAAGTCAAGCTACCCGAAAACCCAACATGCAGCATGAGCCCTCAAATTGAAGCTTCACCCACTTAGCTCAACCTCATTGGACTGTTGACCTCATTTTTGGTAAGGCACTGTCTTTCTCCTAGAGCTTAGGATTTAGCCATAGGACTTTCCTATTTACTGTCTGATACGCCTAAAAATTAATTATTTTTTATATATATTTCATGCTTATTTTAAATGATATTGTACTTTAAAGGAAGGTATTTTGCATATTTTTGGCTTTAGGTACAAGAAATGAACTTTTGGAGAATATGAAGTAAAAATGTGCAATTTAGAGCCAAATCGAACAAGGAAGAAAATTCTGATCTGATGCATTTTGATATGTATTTCTATGCTAAATCTAATTTACATTTATCACATGGTTTTGAATAAAATTACGCTTTAAATAAATGTTATTTTCATGTTTATGTTGTAGGTATAACTCTTGGATTAGATTGGAGCTAAAACAGAGCAAATCAAAGCAAAATGGGTGTGTTGCCCACAGGGTGGTTCCTAAGCACCACAGACTGACGCCTAGGCACCAGAAATTATATTGGACGGTTTTTTAGGCGATTCTGAGCTATTACGAGTGGTTTTGAAAGATTCCAAGCAGCTTTGCACGCCCCAAAGAGTTATGCAATAAATCTAGATACTTAAAAAAGCTTTTGGAGTGAAGCGGTGTGACTTTTGAAGTGAAGAGGTGTGTCTCTTAAAGTGAAGAGACGTTGTCGGCACTAAAAAGTTGGAGGAGGTTGAAGGGGGTTGAAGTTGTTGGTCGATGGAATGAATATATATATATATAATTTGGAAAAAAATAATATTTTTAAATTTTGAAAATGCAAGACCGAATCGATCTCATATCCTTAGTAGTTTAAATAAATGAGACCATTACCGCAAGAAATGCATCCATCCCGAAGAATAAGTGCACTACTTACTGGTGAAGACTCGATTAAATAAACTAAAGATTGTATGACATTCGTTTAAGTCTGTGAAACCATTTTTTTATGTTGACCGACAAATTTCCATATTTAATACAAAGATTTAAATAGAGATTATATTAAGTTGGG